TTAAAAAATAATCGCATATCGCATCGCAATCGCAATATTGGGGCAAAAAATCGCAATTAGATTATTTTCCATAATCGTTCAGCCCTATCAGAGACTCTGTTAGTGTATCTTGGCATGATTCACAGGACAAAGTAATGATTCTTTATCTTATTCTAGGACTTGGTGCAGCCCCTCAGTTCATACTCTGTCTAAATAACAAGTTTTAGCTCTGCCTCTTCAATCTAATCCAGTTATAAACCACATTTAAAAACTATAAAGTTCGCAAAAGTGCTGTACATAAATATAGGGAGGTCACACAATGAGAATATAATAAAAATACAAAATGTAAAAAAGTTGACACACCTACATAACAAACACCAACACATGACTGTAAATACAAGCAGAAACAATCAAATTAAGTATTCATCTTTCACACTGTGCTAAAAGAGTAAAGCTAGAGACAATTTTTTCCTGGTTGGTGAGCTTCAGATAGCCAGCAGAGGGGCAGCCAATTGGTGCTAAAACCAATTATGGAGATGACGTTGACCATAAAAGGAAATCTGTTACACATTGATGTCAGTGTGCAATTAAAGTAGAAAAATGTTTGGATCAAATCTACTACTTATTGATTTCTTTATCTTATTTGAAACTGTTAGGTTTTGTATTGTTGATTGTCATTTATGCTTAGAAATATTTAACCATATTTGCTTAGAGGTGTATAATCAATTGTGTAGTGATAGGCTGTGTGATCTTTAGCAGGCTACAAAGGCTTGGTGTGTATTCCACACTAGAATGCACACCTACATCCTGGGAGCATGGGAAGAGGTCGTACCTTGTCTTATTGTTTTATGGTAGGATAAACGTGGCTATATTTGTTTTAGGCTAAGTGCCTTTTGTTTAGATGAACTGGACTTCCAGACCAGCAGGTTTAGGGAAGTTATTTATGGGGTCACACTCTGACCCCACACACACACACGCGGTACTCTTTGTGTGTATGTAGACGTCATATGTTAATGAACCTATGCATATTCATGTAACCTCAATAAAAGAGCAGTGTTACGGGAGAACGGACGAGAGCAACTGGGGTCAAGCGAAGGAACGGCGTTTGTCCGGTTCTCTCCCGTGCACGAGAAACATGAAGAACTTTGCCTACTTCGTGTCTTGCTTGCTGTGTAATTATATTGCCTTCAACGTTCCAGCGAATAGGTTCAAGCTACAAACCTATCAGAAACTGTGCTTAATCAGTGGTGGAAAGTAACAAAGTACAAATAGTTTTCTTGCTGTACTTGACTAAAATTCTTTCAGGTGTCTGTAGTTTACTTGAGTATTATTTTTTCTGATAACTTTTTACCTTTTCTCCCTTCAGTTTAACACAAATATTTTAACTTTCTCCTTCTGACATTTTCTAAACAGGCTTTTATTTACTGTAAGTTTGAGTAATGAGTTTTGTTACATTTTACCATCAATTTTCCTTCCAGTAAACCAATTCGAGCCTAAATGGGGGAACAATAACACAATCCTAGACAATCCTATTGGTGTATCCATCAATGGTGCTTGTCACTGAAGAAGAGATGCAAGAAGCAAATATTTTATGTATAATTTATTGTAATATACTGGTTAAAGTGGACTCTAACAGCATTCAAGGTTCAAAAGAGGATAAAAGGGAATAACACTGGCAAATAATTTTAAAGTTACTATGAGCTCAAGAAATCACAGGAAGCACACAAGCTGTTTTTTGTGAACTGTGTCTGTGAAGTTAGGATTTTTTTAATATTGTGAAACATCATCATAATAATGGATTGCATTTATATAGTGCTTTTCGAGACCCTCAAAGCGCTTTACAGTTCCACTGTTCATTCACTCTCACATTCACACACTGGTGGAGGTAAGCTACAGTTGTAGCAGCTTTCAAACTTTTTGATTAAACTGTATTCTGCACACCTGGAAGCCACCTAAAGCTTGATTGCTAGACCATGTGGCACTAACAAGAATAAAGGACAGAGCCATGAAAGAGGCAGAAATGTTGTTACTGCACGGCGTCAACGCGTTAGCGCCGTCCAGTCCCGAGCCTTATCTCCTACAGTCTTAGAAACACAAAACTCAGCTTGTTATTTGGTGGTTTTGAAACTAAACTTAAACAGTCCTTTTTAGCTGGTACTGAAACTCGGCTCTCACAAAAATAAATGGCAGTATGGTGTACATTTTAGGACATCCGTCAGGTCTCAGACAAAAAGCTGTCAAGTGTCAGGTCTCAGACAAAAACTCGTCAGGTGTCAGGTCTGAGGTGTCAGGTCCCAGCCAATGACTGTAGCAAACATGGACGACGTGACAGCGTCAGTAGTTCATACGATGCTGTTTTATGTTCAAGGGGTCTCCTTTCTCATACGTTTGATTCTAATTACTACCATAATGCTGTGAAATTGGGGTGTGATGTAATTGTAACAGCTTTGACTGGAAGCTGCAGTCACGCACAAACTTGCGTATCTCTGTTCAGGAATGGTAGATAGAGCGGGGTGCAGACAGGAGCTCCAGCATTTACGTTACAAAACCATGACCGTCTGTTTCAACCTGACAGCCTGAGGTGTTCTTCAGTATACTGGACTACCCGACAGAAGGACCCGGCACCCCGCCGCACTTTTTCGGTAAGTTAAACGTGTTTGTAAGCTTATCCGTAACCACCGTCCTTAGCTAGGTCCTGAGACCTAGCTATAGTGATGTTCGATTCGTGAACGAATCATTCAATACTCAATAATTACTTTACTGACTCGTGAATCATGATTCACAAGCGCAACTGACTTAATGACTCATCTCTGTTGCTGTTAGAAAACTAATTCTATTAGTAGAAATATATCAAGCTTATAATTAAAATTGTGGGGAGAAAAAACAACAGCCAATTTCTTAACAAAAACATTTCTGCTCTGAACTGGAAGAAAAAACCCTGAGTAGAAGCTCACATCAAGACAATAGCTCCTCGGTTCACAGTAGCATCTCTCAGCTAACATGCTAACAGCACATTTGAGTTACTCACCCCCTCCCTTGCTGTGCTGAATCATAGCTTACCGGTAAGTGAATCACTCAGGGCTCACTCACCTACGGTGGCCCCTAGAGACAAAGCACGTACAAACTCCAAAACACTTGCAAACTCCAAAACACTTGCAAAATCCAAAACACATGCAAACCCCAAAACACATGCAAATTCCAAAACACAACGGAAGTGCTCCAGGACGCTAGGGGCGGTGTTGAGCTTTTGTTACCTAGTAACTACACAAGCCAGGAAGTACCAATGACCGGATTTGGGGTCTGCAGCCTTAAAGGCCGCATTTTAAGGC